GAGGTTATGGTGCGTTCAAGTCATGTCGGATACATCGTATTTACGCGTTGAACGCACATGAACAACACCACAAAGTCGTTATTACGAGTGGGAAACTCGAAATTTTCTTTAAGCCCTGAGTTTCCAAATTGGGGGCGTGTCAGTGAAAAAAACTTGTCGGATGCAATGGACGCACGCAGCCAAAGACTATAGATAAGCAGCGTCTGTATTGACGGTAAATTTGTTGAAATTAATAAAATGATTATTTTTTGTAATGTACAATAAAACTATTTAAGTTACATATACAAAATATTATATTATTGTATAATTTCCATAGAATATATGATTCAGTTTACATCACCTTCATAAATTGAATAAAACCCGGGGAAAAAAGCAAAAACACAATGATGCACATTCTTTATTCATCATTTTGTAGATGTAGAGTTTTAAAAAATCGTTGAATTTTATGTAGAAAAGTTAAATCGCCATCTTGTTCCAACCAAAGTGACTTGAACGCACCTGACGTCGTAATTACGATTTGTCAACTCATAAGTACGAACGTCCCAGGAGGACTTGAATGCAGCATTACTTATTTTTCATATTACAGTATTTGAGTTTTGGTCGGCATTGATAAGATGGGGCTATTACCCAATTATTAGTTCAGACTATAATGTAAATAATTCGTCCGAAAAAAGTTATAGTCCCTCACATAAACGCAAAAGATCATTTCCGTTTCCGGAGGCTTTTATTTTGAAAGCGTGTCTTCAGCGGAATTCGCGTTACATTTTCAGGTCATAGGTGAATATTTAGCGGGAGATACCAAAAATCAACACAGAGTAGGTCGACCAGATTTTGTTCTTGATTTTGTTTACTTTATCGTCGAATCAAACTAGTTTTACAATATATTGTAGAAAAACAACAGCGCAAATAAGAAACAAGGTAAGAAAGTGAAGCTAACTATTGAGCTGTTAGCATACAGTGATATCCGCGTTTACAATTCTCCTAATATTGCATTTATATTTTATTTACACACAATTGTTTAATTGATAACTTTCCGTCCATAAACGTGCCTTCAGTCATGTTCTCAAACGTGATCGCTCCGAGGGAGACGCTATTGTCTGCTCCAGGCTCAGAGGAGCCGGTGTTTGACCGTCTCCAGCTCTCACACAGCGGCTGCTCGGAGAGATTCCGCCTCGGCGAGCGCAACTTCAGCCGCCAGTACGCGCACATCTACGCCACCAGACTCATGCAGATGAGAGACGTCCTCGCTGGCAGAGCCGCGCACAAGTGGGGTGAGACACATCTATAGTCACTGACAGGCTCGTGTTGCTGTTGTGTTTTACCTGAAGCACTTCTGAGCATGAGTGGATGTGTGTGGCAGGCGGTGTCGTGCCCATCAGGAAGCTGTGTGACCTGCAGATGGGTGAACAGTGTATAATAGTGGGCACCATATTCAAACACATGGAGCTGCAGCCCTCCATCCTGAAGGAGATCAGTGAGGAGGTAAAGCCACCAGATGTTACAAACTTCAGCTTTGTGTTCTCTCTCTCTGTCTTCCCTTCTTTTAACATATCTTCTCTCTCTTCAGCACAATCTGTTGCCCCAGCCACCTCGTTCCAAATACATCAGCCAATCAGATGAGCTTATTTTGGAGGATGAGCTGCAGAGGATTAAACTGGAAGGCAACATCGACACTCCCAAGTTTGTAACAGGTGGGATACAGGAAAGTTAGGGAATATTTTTCAACATATAGCAAGACTGATCTGTCTCAATCTGCTCATGCTTCTCAATCTTAATGCTTTGTTGTGAAATGGTGTTTTCAGGTAGTGTAATAGCCATCATGGGTGCAGAGAAGAATGATGGGAAATTCACTGTTGAAGATTTCTGCATGGCTGACCTTCCTCCACAGACACCTAGACAGCCTCTCAGCTCAGACAGGTACAGACACACACCTGACATGACCGGAGAAATAGAAAATAAACCACTAAAAAATGGAGAAAATAAGAATGAAAAAGAAAATTTGGAAATCATAACATCAGAATGTACAGTGTGAAATAGACATTAATTTTGGATTTAGTAAAGATTACATTTAATAGTGTTATTTCATTAATAGTGTTTTAAAAATAAACTTTAAGTGAGTGTTATATGATGGAAAACGTAATCTAAATACAAGAATGAGGGAAATAAGAATACAAAAATCTATTAAAATAAATTTTAAAATGTTTAACGTTGCCATGAAATCAAAATTGATAATTGCCTATTTGTTTTTTTAGATATTGCAGTGTTTATTATAAAGGATTTATCAGTGCACTTTATGCTTTTGGAAATCTTTTATACGCTTTATGACAGACATATATAAGATATAAGACATAATAGAGAAGAAATGACAGTCTCATTTTGCATTGCATACCGAATTTAATATATATGTATTGGTTGACAACCAAGCTGAATTTAATATATCATGCATCCCTAGTGTTGAAGTTGCACAAGTGGATTCTTTGACTACAATGTTTTTGTAAGCAGGGTGAATACATTGAAGCATTCAGAAGGATGTTTAAAGGTTATTTAGTACTTATACCATCTTTACTATGTCACACTAAAATCAGCCAGGAAAAGCAGTGTAGAATCAACATAACTCACATTCACCTTTAACCCTTTGCTGTTTTACTGGTTGCACAGGTTTGTGCTTCTTGCCTCTGGCCTGGGGTTGAACGGCAGCAGAGCAGACAGCATGATGGGATTGCAGCTTTTGGCGGATATGGTAACTGGTCAGCTTGGAGATCAGGGGGAGCAGAGCGGAGCAGCGTCCATCTCTAGAGTCATACTAGCTGGAAACCTGCTGAGTCAAAGCACTCAGGACAAAGACTCAACAACCAAGGTGTCAAATAGGACTTAATTTTTAAGCAGCACTGTCTTACGTTTTAAGCAGAATTCTATAACATATAGTGAATTAATCTTGTAAATTAAACTCTTTTCCGTTTGAAGGCAAAGTACCTGACTAAGAAGACTCAGGCTGGGAGTGTGGAGGCTATCAAACTGCTGGATGAGCTTCTAATGCAGCTAGTGGTGAGTGTTTTCAGCCCAAAGTGTGGACTTTGGTGAGAGACCAAAAGAGCTGAGGGCATTATTTTGGGACATGGCCGAAATACATTGTACTGCGTTTATTCGGTATCAAGCTTGTAGGACCAGGTCCCATAGTTCATAGTTGTATTCTGATCTCATGGTGAGTTAAGTTTGTCTTACTGCTAAATGCACAATGAAGGTCTTTTTACACACAAACCTGCAATGTGTGATTTGTCCACTATAGGCCTCTGTACCTGTAGATGTCATGCCTGGACAGTATGACCCAACAAACTACACTCTACCCCAGCAGCCCTTGCACCGCTGCATGTTCCCTCTGTCTGTGCCCTTCCCCACCCTGCAGCTGGTCAGCAACCCTTACCAAGTTATCTTAGATGGTGTCCAGTGAGTAACTACCTGTGTTTTATCCTCTGTCAGTGGTGTGATGTGGTGAGCAGCTCTTGACAGTGAATGTTTTGTGGTTTCTCTCAGGTTCTTGGGCACAGCAGGACAGAATGTCAGTGATATTGTGAAGTACAGCAGTATGGACGATCATCTGGAAATATTGGAAAGCACACTGAGACTCCGCCACCTGGCTCCCACTGCTCCTGACACACTAGGTCTGGACAGACTGTTTTCTCTGTTTATTTATAAGTTTGTAACAATTTTTGGTCATATTTTTAAATGTTTTTTAAAGGGGTGTTCTAGGTTATTTTAGCATAATATCTGTGTACCTCAATTCAAATGAACAAAATCATGAGCTTCACATTCATGTATGCACACTGACTGATTATTGTTTTGAATTTATTGTCAGTGATGATCACGCATATGCAGTACAAAGACATAAAATAACCCAGAATATTGCATTTAAAACATTATATTTATATTAAATGTTCCCTCCTGGTGGAATGACCTGCCCAACTCAGTCCGAGCAGCTGAGTCCTTAGCCATCTTCAAGAATCGGCTAAAAACACATCTCTTCCATCTTTATTTGACCCTCTAACTCTAGCACTTTCTATTCTAATTCTATTCTTTATAAAAAAAAATTTAAAAAAAATAACACTTACTTCTCTAATCTTTTTTGCATTCTATCTATTTGTTTTTTATTTATTTATTATACAATTATAATTCTGACTTTCTGATTTCTGATTAACAAAAGCAAAAAAGACCTAACACTAGCTTGCTCTACTCTTTTTCTATTCTTATCTGTTTTCTTTTTATTTATTATATGATTTAAAAAAAACCTTGCTACGTGTACTGCATTAAGCTAACTGAGACTTGTTATAGCACTTGTATATCATTGCTCTTTTGTTGATTTTGATTGCTTCCATTGTCCTCATTTGTAAGTCGCTTTGGATAAAAGCGTCTGCTAAATGACTAAATGTAAATGTAAATATTTTTTTATTTAATTTTAACCTTCTGATACAGAGCCCCTAGGGGGTGATGGAAAAAATATGAAATGGGAGAAAAAATTCTTTAAAAAATTATTTCAGTTCCCTCGCAAAACATTTGTGTGTTCCCCTGAAAAATATAGTTTTTCCTCCCACCTCGTATTATTTCCATGACCACATTTGTTCACTCACAATACCTGTGCAAAAGAATGCATAATGTCCTTCCCCTTCCATGTCCTTTTAGGGGCTCTGTATTCTGAAGATATTTGACTTTTTTTATTTTTTTATTTCATATACTTTTTTTATTCTATAGTTTAATAAACACTTAAGTGTGACTCTTTCACGACCTAAATATCATTTGAATTTATAAAACGAACAAATATTCATGTAGAAATTTTTGGAATATCTCATTGTGTTACTATTTTTTATAAAGCATTTTGAAAATGCTAGATTGTTCTTCTGACTTGTTTTGCTGACCCTTAAGGTTGTTACCCGTTCTATCAGAAAGACCCCTTTATTATGGAAGAGTGCCCTCATGTGTACTTCAGTGGAAATGCACCAAGCTACCAATGTAAACGAGTCACAGGTGAATAGAAGACTATTTAATAATATAAAAAGCAGCACTGTTTAACAGTGTGGCCAAACATTAGCAGTATTTATTTTCATATACTTTTTTTATTCTATAGTTTAATAAACACTTAAGTGTGACTCTTTCACGACCTAAATATCATTTGAATTTATAAAACGAACAAATATTCATGTAGACATTTTTGGAATATCTCATTGTGTTACTATTTTTTATAAAGCATTTTGAAAATGCTAGATTGTTCTGACTTGTTTTGCTGACCCTTAAGGTTGTTACCCGTTCTATCAGAAAGACCCCTTTATTATGGAAGAGTGCCCTCATGTGTACTTCAGTGGAAATGCACCAAGCTACCAATGTAAACGAGTCACAGGTGAATAGAAGACTATTTAATAATATAAAAAGCAGCACTGTTTAACAGTGTGGCCAAACATTAGCAGTATTTATTTGTATGGTAATTTTTGTCTTTTCTCAGGACCTGAAGGACAAGATGTTCTCCTAGTAGCAATCCCAGAGTTCAGCAGCACACAGACGGCCTGTCTTGTGAACCTGCGCACCTTGGAGTGCGAGCCAGTCTGCTTCTCCTCTTTTTCCACAGAGGATGATGAGGACATTGAGATGAATATCAGCCATTAAACACTCGCTTATCAACATATGACACTTGTTCCTGTAGACCAACAAAAGACAAAAGATTGTCCAACAAAGACTTGTTTCTGTTGTTGTGTTGTTTGTTAATAAAGCTCCCTTTTTTGTATGGAAACATTCTTTTCTTTCCCCTCATGTAGTGATAAAAAGCATTTTGAAGGCTTTATAACACTATATAACACTTTTAACATCAGCAAAGGATTTGCACAACTCTGGTATTTCTTACAGAAGATTAATAGTGTGGCCTTAAAAATGTCAATTTATCATCTGATTATTTAAAAAAGCATCATCCTCAAAATCATAAGAATTATTGCATAAAAATTAAGTCTAGGGCATTTTTGTCGCCATCTGCCGTTGAAAAAAATCGTTAAAATGTAGTATTACCATAGTAGACAAAAAAAAAGTATTACGTTTATATTATTTCTAAACACGTTAAAACACCGTATTGTGTATTTACCATAGACTGTATAAAAACGGTATTTACCTGAAAAATAATATATTTTCAAAAAAAAAAAGTGAACGTTCAGATGACGTCACTTCACGGTTTTGCTACGTCATTGTTCTGCGCCCTCGCTTGTTTGGCTCTTTCAATGAAACGTTTACCGCATAACTAAACTTTTGGACATCATAAAGGTAAAGTATGCAGTCGCCTTAATTTATGTCTTAATAAAATTGCATGTATAATATCCTGTCCGTTATTTGCATACGAAAACAGCATTCTGTCAGTGCAGTTTCAGATAGTGTGAGTTTACTCGTGGCTCGATAGCTCTGTGATCACAGATGATCTACTCTCTCTCTTCAGATGCCTCTGCCTCCAGCTTTACTTGCACGCCTCGCTAAAAGAGGGATCGTCAAACAGTCCGACCACGGTAACATACATCATGCACATTTATCTTACTGGCTGATCCATAAAACATTAAATTAAGACTTCATGTCTCTCATCACCATCCTCCTCCTCAGAGGCAGAAGAGGAGATCATTGCCGAAGACTATGATGATAACAACGTTGATTATGAAGCTACCAGGCTTGAAAATTTGCCAACGAATTGGTACAAAGTTTTAGACCCCGCTTGGTAAGCAGCCCATAAATGATTATATTTCCCATATAATACCATGGTTAAACCATGAAACAGGTCCATAATTCCACATTGAATCTGTTTTGGTTCTTGCTTATAAATAACTACTGTACTCTTTTCTTGTCCTTAGCGGACTTCCTTACTACTGGAATATAGAGACAGATTTAGTGTCCTGGTTGTCCCCCAATGACCCTACTGCTGTCATCACCAAAGCTGCTAAGAAGCAGAAAGGTAAAACTGTGACATGAATCATAAGTATGCACAGATTTTTGTGCTTCTGTAAGTAATGCTATTAAGACATATGCTGCATCTGTTTGTGTTTTACTTCCCAGGTGAGACTGGACATGACAAAGCAGACAGTCACTATGAGAAGGCGGAGAGAGACAGGGATCGAGACCGAGAGAGGGACAGAGACAAGGAGGACGGATGGGACAGAGATAGAGACCGAGATAGGGATCGAGACCGGGACAGGGACAGGGACCGTGACAGAAGGATGCGGAGAGATGACAGTGCACCATATAGCAAATCAAAGAGAGGTCATTTATGCATTATCTGTCTCATAAAACACTTAAGTAATAGTTAAATATATTGCCTTTAAAAGCCTGAATAAACGTAAACTCTGTTTTAGGAGGACCAGGAGGAGGTCGGAAACAGCAGCAGGAGGAAATGGATCCCATGGATCCCAGCGCCTATTCAGATGCTCCAAGGTAATGACCAGCTAGTTTACAATTACCACTATGGCTGTGTTTGTAATGCTATAAGAGCACACCATTCTTACTACATACTATACGTATCTTTGCAGTATATACAGTGCCTATAAAAAGTATTCATACCCCATTTTGTTATGTTGCTGCCTTATGTTAAACTGCATTAAATTACTTTTTTTCCCCACATCAATCTACACTCCATACACCATAATGGCAAGGCAAAAAAAACAACAACAAAAAACAGGTTTTTAACATCTTTGCAAATTTATAAAAAATAAAAAAACTTAAATGATTCCACTGCACTATCTGGGGCAGTTGAAATTTAGCTCAGGAGCATTCATATTGCTTGTAGATGTTGCTACACTTCGAGTGAAGTTAACCTGTGGCACATTCAGTTGAATCGGTATGATTTGGAAAGGCACACACATCTTAAAAGTTTTAATGGCTGAAAATGCATATCAGAGCAAAAACCAAGCCCTGAGGTAAAAAAAAAAAAACTGCCTGTAGAGCTCAGAGACAGGATTGCATCAAACCACACATCTGGGGAAGAGTTCGGAAAACAATTCTGCTGCATTGAAGGGTCACAGAATCATGTAGCCTCCATTATCCATAATGGAAGAAGTTTGAAACAACCAGGACTCTTCCTAGAGCTGGCCTCCTGGCGTGATGTATCTGATATGTTGGTCTCTAGCAATGTAAGGAAAAAGCCAATCACAACTCATGTTGCCGTCAGAATAAGGTTGGGATGATGAAGGGTGTGTCATATCATCCATTTGGCCTCTCAGTGTTCTGTTCCGCCCACATAACGACAGATGGCGTCATAGTCGAGTGCGAACACCTGCTCCTCGTGCCGGTCCAGCTGAACCATGGCTCGACACTTCTCTCGGTCTCGCTTCAGGATGCGGCCCACCTGCAGGATAACGTATGCATTATGATTCTACAACAGAAATGCACTGCTTTCCATATGGATAAATAACAAATTATGAAAGACAATTATAGGAGTGAAAAAATGTGTGGACCACAAATGCATATCAAATGACTAAAAATAACTTAAGGGCTCTGTTCCAAACCCTAGTGCACTTCCTCGCTGTCTACATAGGCAGCTACTTTCTAAGGTATGTTAACATGTTACGAAGATAACGACTTAATACTCGAAGGTGATACATTTATGATTCACACAAATATTTCATTTTAATTAGGTGGATCTATTTCTAGTAGTGAATAAAATGTTTATTCACCATCTTGGATTTTGCAGTGCATTCTGGGATTGGATGATCTCTGTTTAATTCAATTAAAAATGATAATTAATAGTTTTAGTTAACAATAACAACACTGGGTCTTCAACATTTTTCTGTGTGAAACAGCTTGATGTCAGGGGTGTGTCTATAATGCCTAAAATGCTGTCTTAAGTAGGTGGCCCATGAGGGTTTGGAACAGAGCTATGCTTACTACACAAGCAAGTGAATCCATGTACCTGTCCTCTGTGTTCTCCCAGAACCACCATAATGTAGTCTGAGTCGTTCTTGGGTACAATGGTCTCTAGCATCTTCTGTCTTATATCTGAAACAAACAAATGAGTGAAAACTGACAACCAGCTTTAAGACCAAAAATCCTCACTGTTAAAATGCATCTTAGGCCATGTCCACACGTACGCGGGTATTTTTATAAACGGAGTTTTTTCTCCTTCCGTTTTAAAAAAAATCTCCGTCCACATGAAAACGCAAACGCATGCGCATGCACTGTCAAGAGCATGCCTAACCAACAGGTGGCGATATAATCTCCACTGTAAAGCCATGTTGGCCAATCAGAAGCCTGAAAAAGTCTCCAGTAGGCGGAAATAACAGCGCAGGCTCCGACGTCACAAGCCAAAAACTCCGGTTTCGCTGTCTACACGATAACACTGCAACCGGAGTTTTAAAAAATGTTCGGTTTCAGTGACCTGGTGCTGTGTTTGCGTGTGGACGAACGGCCTAACCCTGTAGAAAAAGCTGCGGTTTTAAAAATAACCGCGTTCGTGTGGACAGGGCCTTATACTGGTCAAGATCAGTGTGTTTCATACCATCCAGCAGTCTGCCCTCCTCTGTACGACAAACACAGGTGTGGGGCGTCAAGACGTCCTCGACTCTCATCTAAACACAAATTTAAAAAGTTACACATATCTTATATATCAGTAATATCTTAATTAGGAATAGGTGGTAAAAACATGTCTTTAAAATGCAGTTGCATTCTGTTTAGCTTGTTTATGAAAACAAGAACACATCCTGTGTTTCCCCCTTTTGAAACACCACTTCAGTATCTCTCAGCATGAAAACAAACACTGTATTGAACAAACCAGTCTCACTATACTAGTGAAGTACCTTTGAGTTGTAGTATTTGCCTCCTTTGAATGCTTTATCTATGAATCGCACATGGAGGTCTCTTTGGAGCCATGAGGGGGCTGGGGGTGAGGGCCGCGACTCTTTTGCTGGAGGAGGCTTCTCTCTGAAAGGGCGGATAATTCATGCATCGAAATAAATACAGATTCAATAACACATACATGCAACATACTGTTCTTGAGTGTCCGTCTTACCTGTCTGTACTTGATTCTCTGGGTTTTCTTTTCTTCTGATCTCTCTCTCTGTCCTTCTCCCTCTCTCTCTCTCTGTCTGTCTTTCCTCTGTCATCTTTGCCGTTTAACCTCTCCTCTCGTTCCCTCTGCTGTTCCCGCTCTTTTTCTCTCTCTTTGTCCTTGTGTGCTTTACTAAGACGACCTGGTAGACAGAAAAGGGCCATTTTAATTGATAAAGATCTGGTTAACAAAATGACATTTATTTTTTTTAAAGAGTAAAAAACAACAGTTACAGTTTTAAAATGGCTTTTATATTACTAATTTGTGTAAACCGGTTTCACGTGTGCAAACCAGCATGTGTGAAATATGTATGTCAGACCACACAGCTTCTGATTACAGAAAAATAAAGGCTTACTGGTGATGTTTTGGGTTGAAACGCTTGAACCCAAACAGCTAGTTTTCCCACAAGCTCAAATTGCACTTTACACAGTCTCAACTGTTCTGTATTCTCAACTGTTCAGACACCATGAAATCAAAACGGATTCTGTTTACCTAAACACGTCGATGTACATTAATATAATAGTAACTAACATTAATTTAGCTCACAATCCAATAAACTCCTACTGAATAAAATGCCTTGCACTACATTATTTCTCACTGGACATTCAGTTTTATTAGAAGCACTCACATTCTGAAAGGTAAATGCATTGTGAATGAGCATTCTTTATTCATCTTAAATATAATACTCATGAGGAAAATGCATTTAACTAGAATAACAAATGCTTTTAGATTTAGCCAGAATAACAAAATCAGGACCAACATATTTGATTTGTATGTAGAATTGCTGTAAAACTCAGTTGTACACAAACAACAGATGAGGATGTAAGACTTACTAAGGTCTTTGCTGTTTTTGTCGTATTCCTTACGGCTGACTAATTTTAAAGAGTGCTGGATAATGGTTACTGTCTTGCCACCAATGGCAAGTTTAACTACAACTCTGGCGTTATCTGGATCCACTCCCTCTATCTGTGAAAGACACAATGTGAGAACAAGAAAATGTTTTTTAAATATATATATATATATATATATATATATGAAAAACAGGCAGGGAGAGAGCAAAAACAAATAATGAATGTCAGTCAAACTATTATTTTCTAGTCCAAAATTCCTCTATATATAATATCATATATCATACATTATTTTATTTTTAAAAAATCTTAAAACTACTTTCCTAAAATTGTGCGTTATTAATTGACACAAGGGGGAGCTAACAACTTCTATGAAGCAGACATGACCAACCGAAGCTGATAATATTTAAAAGTATTTGAAGAAAATATTGACAGATCAATCAAGTTTACATACATACATACATACATATATATAAATTAGAGCTTTAATTTTATTTGTTGGTAGATATAAAATCTCATACTTTTCCAGATCACTAATACATAAGATGTGCTTTTCTGTCTCAGAAGATGCCTTGAATGCATCCATCTTATTGCATTTGAACAGCTCATTAGTGTGTAATTACAGTAGCTCACCATTACTTTCACAGAAGTGAATATGGATGAAGTAAAGCCCACTCACTTTCCCGTACAGGTTTTTATGGGCTCCTGCCAGGACCTGCACACATCCTCCAGGTCCCAGAACCAGCGTCTCCTCTTCCTTCTTCTCCTCACCAGGTTTAGGAGGTCTCTTGGGGACACCAGGCTCCAGGTCTTTAATAGCAGAGCGATCGGCACCCAAACCCAGCCCTTTAGGCCTTAACTGATGCTCTATGGGCTTCACATCTCTGACAGGTAATGAGAGAAACAAAATATTTTTTTTACAAGAAGCTATTAGGATATTTCAAACATAAACCACAAGCTAACACATCTCCCTCACATCATACCACCCCCCCCAAAAAAAGAGCAGCCTGTGTGTTTCCATGTTCATACAAGCGAACAGATGGGCCCGTAAGCACAAAAGATTAAAAAGTGTGCGGCCAGTCCGCGCCAAAGATTCTGTCTGCTGGTCTGAAATAATTCTTCACTGCATTTGACATAAAATCATAATCTCATGTCATTAATGTCTCCAGCCAGGACAATAATCCCAGCACAAGGAAACATGAGTGGAAAAGACTTGTAGAGAGCCAAACATCACGTGCATTAGAAAGCGCTTATCACTCAAAACAGTGACGAAACTATAAAGACACTGCAGAGGTAAAAGATAAAACCCGCTAAAGCAGACAAAGCTGTTTGAGGCCTTTCAACACATGGTCAATGTGAGACGATTTATAATGTTGGACATATGGATATATGTATCATTTCATTTTAATTATTATTTAAAAGAGAACTGTGTTAGCTTAAAAAAATAACCACACGTGTAGATGAACAGGCAGGCTTCAATAAACATTAATCTTTAAAGTAAAAAAATAATAATAACCATAAAAAAGGGGTGCACATAATTATGAATGAATGAGTACCCAAGCACTTGGAAAATATAACTGATCACTAAAAATAATTTCACAAAAATAATACTAATAGTAATTGTGCATAATTTTTAACTTTAAAACATTTAATTTGAATATGCTGAGAGTCAAGGGCACTTTAAAACAAATAACAAAAAAATCCAATACATTTTTTTTAATTTTAAATTTAATTGAAAAAAAAAAGGTCCTTACTGTTTAAATGTGTGTCCGATTCCCTCTCCTTGCTTCCAGCCCATTCCCTTCAGCATGGCCAACCCATAAGCCTCCACAGGAACACGTTCATAGTCGGCATCTGTGGACTGAATCAGAATCATTCAATACACATCTCAAACATCTCCACCGAGAAATCAAGCACAGACTTCCTAAGTAATCAAAAACACATTCAGACCCAAAACACTAATTAGAAACACACACCTCAACCTACAGAGAAGATGATAATTAGATGAAATATTACAGCTTCTTTTATGCATTGAATAAACAAACGCTTTGACAGGCAGAGTAAAATTTACTCATAATGACTCGGAGCGTGTTAAAGCCTAATCAAGCTGTAGCTGGCGCTCTCACAACAATCTACAAGTGATGGACTTGCATTGCAGGAGAAAATGACACTGGAGATGCGAGGAAGAGAGAGAGGGAGGGAGTTTATGCAGAGTAAGCTATTTGGATGCAGCAGGAGAGTTCTTCATCACTCATTTCATTAGGACACACCCTTATCCTACACACACACATACACATTAAATGCAACAAGAGCACTGCATGTGCAATGACCTTGAACTGCCCCGTGCTGACACCACATCTGGCACCATTACTGGACAACAGCTCGAGCAGCCGATAGAACACTAATGAGTTGTAATAAAATACACTTCATAAATCAACAACAATTGCATTAGAAATCCTCAGCATGTACAAACACACCGATGTGTCCCAGGTTTGCAATTAATTTAAACTGAAAGAGATCTGTATCTGCATACAGCATCAATAACAGTCATATACAGAAAGCACAAAGTGCTGCAGTACCAATAATAGCCATTGCTCTTGTAAAATAGTTAGCATACTAAAATGGGATTTTTACTGAGGTCATTTTTTGAATAGCTCCTTATTAACACAGAATTTCAAACAAATGCTTTTCTTTTGAACTTTAAATTTATCAAATAATCCTGGAAAAAACATCAAAATATTCATTAACACAAGGCTCGAAATTGCGACCATTTTGGTCGCATATGCTCCCTATTTCGTAATTGTTGTTTTACGATGTGCAGTTTGACATTATCGAGTATATTGCAAAATCCAAACAAAACACACCTACAGAGAGTGCAATTCCAAGCACAGTCACAGCGCTGTTTTGCATCTCTGAGCAACATGAGGGCGTTTGGTTCCCGAATGAATCATTCGTTAAATGATTCGGTTCAATCGCGATGACTCACTTATTAACAATGACTTGCTGCCACCTGATGGCGGTTTTAATTTCACATTTAAAGTTTCAAATATTTCAAATATCGTTGGGTGCACCAGTGCTACCAAGTAAAAAAGTTAATTTCAAGCCCTGTTAGCACAACTGTTCTCAACATTGATAATAATAAGAAATGTTTCTTGAGCAGCTAATCAGCACATTAGAACAATTTCTGAACGATCATGTGACACTGAAGACTGGAGTAATGCTGAAAATTAAACATTTGCATCCCAGGAATAAATTAAATTTTAAAATATATTCAAATGAAAAAATCCTATGCAAATAGAACATTTTAAATCATAGCATCTAACAATATTACTGTTTTTACTTTATTTTTGATCAAATACATGCACGATCTGTATGATTGTAACTCACACTAACGTCACAGTCCATGTATTGAGTCTAAAACTAGTCAAAGACTAGTCACACACTTATTTCCATACTGGATCTATAAGGAAAGATTCATCTTGCTTTACAAGATTTTCCCATTTAATTCAATACCATTTGCTATGATGAACTTGGCACTAAAATGTATCCCATGTGCAGCATTCTCAGAAATATTTATAAAGGCCTTTACGTGTTTAATAATTTAATAATGTGTAGAATAATATGTAAAGCATATTTCCATGCTGAGAAGCAACATTCATTTCTGGACAGACCAGCTGAAAACAGTAAAGGGGCTCTACTTTAGCTAAAACAGGGCTGCCTGTCCTTCCATCCATTTTTTGTCAATCATGAACCTACCGACTCTGGTCGCAAATCCACTTTGACTTTGTCTCCATCCTCAAAACCCTGAGGGGCCTGGTTCTGCATGAGAAGAGGAATGGCAAAGTTGGGATCCATCTGCGGTCCGTTCTTCCATCTCTCCTGGTGCTTTTGAGACTCTGTAGTAAATTATATTCAAACAGAAACAGAACGTTATTCTTCATTTAAGCAGATGCTTTTGAGTACAAAACTGACTTGCAGCATTTTTACTACAATCACAGAAAGGGTTCCATCTACAATCTTTTGTTTGCCATTTCAGATGTAGAACCACTAAAGCCACATTACTGCCACACCAACTGAGTTATGAGAATTATTGATGATGCATTTAATGTCAAGCATTACATCAATGAATAACTAATGGATTCAAATACTGTACAAACTACTACTGCCCGGAACGACACAGATAATTTCATTAGCCCATGTGAAAAAGAAGTACACTTTAGCATAAAAAAGATGCTTATTACAGAATATACTCAAATGTGAACTAAATGTAATGTATCCAGACACTGAACTGCAGGTTATTTGCAATTAAATGAAAATGTATTATAGTTTATATTAAATTATTACAGTTATTATTAAACATTTATTTTAAACACAATTAGTTGAACTTGAAAGTTATTTTTCACCCACTTTAGTGCATTTTTATGTGTAATTTCATAATTCTATTGTTTTTTAAATATAGCATTTATGGTAACTAAAATATAGTTTTAGTAGAAATGATAAATACTATTTTAGCATGTCATTTCTATAGAAAACTATATTTAAACATATTTGTAATTACATATTTGTAATGTTGACATTGCAATTTGGTACATTTAAAATATATATCATATATTTATTACTAAACACACTACAGTTAGAATTATAGTCAAGTACGTTACATGTTAAAGGGGTCCTATTATGCTCTTTTACAAAGTCTTGATTTTGTTTTGGGGGTGTACTAGAACAGGCTCTCATACTAGGTTGTTCGAAAAACACATTATTTTTCACATATTTTACATTATTACAACACCTCTCTCCCCAGTCTGGCACGGTTACTCAACACATCAAAGTAGTGTTTTTTAGCAGTGGAATAGAAACCCACTGAAAACGTAAAGCAAAGCTGGTATCTCAAAAGTAGACAAACTCAGCAAGGTTATGTTTTAAAACCTAGTCATACTTAACATTTTAGGGCATCGTAGGCTATGTTTTACAGTACAGTCAGTGTCAATTTTCTTAATATCATGGAACTGAATGGTTACAATTTTGATGTACCATGATATTAACATAGTACTCCAGAGTGAATACTACAAATTATTTAACTTTCTGGCAATTTTATATTAGTAAATGAATGCCCAAGAATGTCTCCTAGGTAGACATCTTAATAGGTTTTGAAACACAGCCATAACCTACTACAGAACGAATAATAATCGATTAACACACCTTCGATGAGTTCTTTGACGGCTTGAGACTCCACCGTGTCCTGCTCCTGCTGGGACGGGTCTCTGCTCTTGTCTTCCCGGCTCTTGTCCTCTCGCTCAGCATCCTGCCGGTACCAGCGGTTCTTGTGGATCAACGGGATGACCAGCTCCTTCGGTTTCTCCACCGGTTTGGTTCTGTAGAAGTGACAGATACATACAAGAGTTGAAGCACATGGCACATGATGAGATAGAAATGATCAACGTCACACTAACGTTACTTTCAATTAGATTATTTGCTAACCTAGCTAACGTTAGCCTTCTACTCACCCTTTAAGTTCCTTCCCTTCGACTTCAACTAAATAATCTCGCTCTTCCGCTTTCCCAGATTTAACCTTACTCAAAGTTTTACTAAAACCGAAAGATATTGGGCCAGATTTTTTGCCTCCATCATCTTGGCTAATATTATCCTTCAGTGTTTCACGCTCCTGATGCCGCTCCAGCGACGCCATGTTTGTTGTGTGTTAAAGTCGCTGGTACATGTAGTTTTATTGGACAGCCATTTCTATACCTGGAGGGCTCAAAAGACTACAATTCCGATAATGCAACACGTTACGCACGACTGTATTTCTTCTTTTTAATTTAGTAAAAATAGTTCATAGAAAATATAGAGTTTAACATTAGTTAAGCATAAGGAATTGTTATATTATTTTGTTACTAATATATTAATATATAAATAATGAATATTAGTTCTACCTGGTTCAACTCACCTTGCAGTGACCCCTAAAGTAGATGAACTCGGTGTGAAAGTTGCTGTGGAAAATATAAATACAAGCATATTTTTAGTAAAAAAATATTATTTTCCTTACAAATATGAATGAATGTTGTAATAAAAATGTGTGTGTGTGTATGTATATATATATATATATATATATATGAGTTAAGCAACAAAAGCACATACATTTCTTTTTAAATTCAGTCTAGTTCTTTATAATTTGCCAGTGATGTAGGGCCATAGATTTGCCCTAAAAAGAGTATCAGTGATTGAGGCAAGAAATCTCTTGCCAATGCCTCTTCATGACTGACCCCGGACAAGTTGGCACAAAACTATTCATATGTGACCAAAGACTGATGTGACTCTATCTCCTTGCCAAACAATCATAGACTATGCACACAAACCATGTCTACTTTTATTATCCAGACAGAGTTCTGTAGAAAAAAAACCCAAAACATTTGTGAACCATCTTAATTTGGTTTCCTGGTCTTAGCTGCTTTTGCTGGTTTTAGATGGTTTCCCAGCCTGACCAGCTGAAAGAAAGTGCCCAAAGTCCATCTAAAACCAGAAAACAGGTCAATCTAACCAATCTTCTTTTATTATCCAAACCGAGTTCTGTAGAAAAAAAAACCCAAAACATTTGTGAACCATCTTAATTTGGTTTCCTGGTCTTAGCTGCTTTTGCTGGTTTTAGATGGTTTCCCAGCCTGACCAGCTGAAAGAAAGTGCCCAAAGTCCATCTAAAACCAGAAAACAGGTCAATCTAACCAATCTTGGAGATCACCAAACCATCTGGTTTGAGGTTGTTTAAATGGAAGAGAGCGGTAAAAATGTAAATGCACTTTCACGCTAGTTTCCCAACTCACTTCCCACCCAAATCCTCCCATTTCACCGGTCCACATTTCTCTCCCCTGAGCTGAGGTGCTTTAACAAAACCGGCAAACTACCTGGTTCGTTTACACAAGGGGCGGCTCTTCCCTTTATATCTTTCCCTCCCCTCAGCGCCTCCAATATCGCTTCTTACTCTTATTACAGTGTTCTTCTCTTATCGCCTGCGCCTGGGAATACTGAAGCGCGCGCTAGACGCGATCTGCACCGCTGACACGCATCGCTTCCAGCAGCACGCCTTCACGGACATCCGCGACACTGTCCTCCGGTTCATAATCGATACTGTCGCCGTGCTCTGCTTATTGAGTATGCTGCGAGAACCAGACTCAGCATAACCGCTGCAATGTAACGCATCAGCGCATTTATTCAGAAAGTCAAAACAATTACGCGGATTAAAACGCCTCGGGACGTGATGAAGAGAAAGCGGTAACTATGAAGGTAAGATTTGGGCTCTGTCATTGATTGTTTAGTGGACGTGTTGCTGTGTGGAAATCACTCACGGTGGTGCTGCTGCTGATGTCGAGAAAATTCAAAAAATCTCTTTAGTTTGTTTAGGACATAAGTTATCTCTGGCCTGAAAGCCACAATCCAATGACAGTGGCTGTTGTTTTGGAGCGTCTTCAACCAAGTGGAAACGCGCTGTCCGATGTGCGTTTTTTTCTCCCTGTGTTTTTTTTCCCTCGCAGATCATCATCACGGGTCCCGAGCTGAACACACACTCACACACACTGAACACACACGCGTCTGGCGCGCATCTCATCTGCGTGCAGACAGTGCTCTCTCTAGACAACAGCATTCAGAAGTCGTAGAAAGTTATAAATCTCGCAGCATCCTTCCGAATAATTAACAGTAAATAATTATTTTTTTTAGGAATTTGACCGTGGGGGTCAAATCTAGGTTTTTACCAATGTATATAGACGCGTTTAAACGGATGATTTTTGAACGGCTGAATTGTTTGAAAAGAATGTGTGTGTGTCAGCGGCAGTGCAGGTGAGTGTTTTCTGCTAAATATCCGTGTTGTCTGAATGTTTGGACTGTAAATGTGGGTGTGGGAAAGACGCGAGGTAGAAAGATGCGTTGCGTTTGTGCTTACCAAATACAACAGTTTATGCTACATAGTATGTTAGTTCTGATTCATTTTCACTTAATTTCCAAACTTAATATCTATCTATCTATTAAGGCTTTTTTAAAATTTAGACTGTCAAGTCATTTGTTCTCCTTGACAAATGTTCCTTGTTTAGTTTTTAGTTTATCTCAAGATAAATGCTGCATTATGAAGTAAAAATATAACCGTTGCTTGTATAAATGTATTTGATAGGTGTGGACTTAATTTTCATATTTAATATACCAACTATTTATTTATTTGAAATAATAATTAAATATTTATTATGAATTATTATGTATAGTTTCATATTAATTTACATAAAATTAAGTTATTTATTTTATAAATTAAAAATACAGCTTATTATACAAAGTGCATTATATGGTTTGAATCCAATTCATCAATTAAAGACTATATATAATAAACTATTTATATACTTATTTAAACGAAGTATTTATATAATATATATGATTAATTAACATATTATATAAATATATAATATATACATTATATTATAACATTTCAATAATTCATTTATAATAATTCAGTAATTCAATTATTTGTTAGTATACTATTTACCTTCATCTGCTTATTTAGATGAATCAAGAGATGCACATGCTGAATTTATTTAGCTTGTTTATTTGTTTGTTTGTTTTCACACACATACAATTTCTTGTTGATACTGTAAATCTGTTAGTTAGTGGTTTAACTGTCTTGCATGCCATCAGCTTGATGTGTGTCTTTGCATTTCATCAGGTTTGAAAGACTTTGGAAACACATGCATGTGCGAATATGCTTATATAACTTTGAATCAGTCATTTGTATGTGACTGGTGTACGTGCCGAAGAATCAGGCAGAGATGCTGAGTTGTTGAGGTGTGTGTGTGTGTGTGTGTGTGTCTGTCCTGATGTGCTACTGAAATAATGAATGTTGTGACCCAGACTTCACAACAGTGCATTGCTGAAGGCTCAGGGAGCAGTCAAGGTTATCCAACAGTTATGCACAGGAAGTGAAGCAAACAGAAGAGAATGACAAAATAACGGTCTACAGAACAGAACATAAACCTGACAATAAGATCGTTAGGCTATCGTTAGCCTATATGTATAACAGTTAGCCTAGTTGTAATCTGATTTTCTAATCTGACTGGACAAGAGACTTTCTATTGATGTTTCCACCTGCCCGCGTTCTAGACGGGCTGTCAGTCAGTGCAGTTACAGTGTTGCGCCACAAAGTGGTGGAAAGGGACTGTCATTCAACTACACATTCAAAAATGCTGATTCATTCATTCAAAGAGAC